ATTACAACGAAGGAAGACATACATACATACACACACAATAAAATGAAATTACATTAGAAGATTGAAGAGTACCTATATACTTTATTGATATACCATACACGCACATGTAACTTACTATATACACATGTTTATAATCTTACATTTGATAAATCGATTCAACATATAGCGTGCCTGCCGTACCTATCGTTGACGGCCAACGTGCCATTTATTTGTGATACAAAAATAAAGATGAAAGAGAGAGAGAGAGAGAGAGAAAAAAGAACAATAAAAAAGAAAAAGATAGTTTATACTTTCGTCAATAGTATTGCGCTGCTGGTCAACAGCTGATGATTACTACGGTCAACCATTTTCTTTTTTTTTTTATTCTTTTCTTTTTATTTTCCTACGTCAGCGGTTGTTGGTTGGGTTGTGTGTTCGCGATCTTAAATTGATACCATTGATAGAATGAGAGACATAGTCATTATCGTCATCGATCGTTAATGATGCTCCCCCCTTCTTCAGCAACGTGACGATGAAAAGACAAATTCAGCTAAAGAAGACGCAATAAAGGTGTATCACACACCTCCCACGAGAAGATTTTCACGTCACTAGTATTTCTATATGATCTAGGTAGATATTTTCGTCATCGTCACGCGTGTACGGTAAATACTCTGTATACTATATACATATATATATACAGGCACATATATGTGTAAGCAAATGCAACATATATATATATATATGTTCTAGATAAATATCTATATGTATAAAATGTATAATACATATATATGTATTATACATTTTATATATAATACATAAATATGTATAAAAAAAATATATATATATATATATATATTTTTTTTTCTTTTACGTTAGTCCGTTATGTTTATATAATACTGAATTATGTAGCTAATGTAATGACGTACAGAATTTACGTCAAAATAACGCCCATCCATCGTTGTTAGCAAACGTCCATCGCTCATTTCAATTTCAAATTTGACATCAACAAGATAAAAAAAACGATTCGCGTTTAAAAAGTTATATATATATATAGAGAGAGAGAGAGAGAGAGAGAGAGAGAGTTTATGGCAAAAAATATTATCGAATTATTTTTTTCTTCTACTTTCGCAAAAGTAAAAACATGTCATTTATCATCGTGAATTAATGAACGATTTTTTTTAAAGAAATAAAAAAACAATTTTTTTAAAATAAATAAAAAACGAAGGACGATGATCGAAGAGAAGCAAAAGTACGCGCATTCGTGTTATTTACTATGCGTTGATAAATATAGAATATACACCGTGAGATAATGCATATCAATTTTATTCACCTTCGATCGCGTGTGTGATTTTTTGCGCAGGTAAATTAAACTACTACTCGTGTTAAGTTTTATTAAATGCTAACCATTATAAAATACAATAGTTTCGAGCAATTATTTTCTATATTTAATTTATTTATTTAATTATTATTATTATTATATATTATATATAATGTGTGTGATTTTGTGCAGGTAAATTAAATTACTACTCGTGTTAAGTTTTACTAAATACTAACTACGATTAAATACAATAGTTTTGAGCAATTATTTTCTATATTTAATTTTATTTAATTATTATTATTAATTATATATTATATATAATTTATTAATTATTTCCTATTTGTCTTTTTTAATAACTTAGAATTAAATGTCGAGCGACGATACTAATTTAAGAGTTCAAAAAACATATGGATAGTATATACATACTAGATAGTATATATGTATGAAGTTATACAAGAGAAAAAAAAGTCAGAGAGAAAGAGAAATGACGAAGTGACAAGTTTGAAAAAAAAAAAGAAAATAAGAAAATACACGTTCCTAACCACCCACATCAATTATTAACAGCAAGGTTTATAACACACCGCCATTCCAAAGATCCGTTACTCGCGCGTGCCATGGTCACTTGGCTTCCATCTCAACTTCCTCTTCCCTTTCTTCTCAGTTCAAAAGCAAAACTAGCTTGAAACGTGTGTTATCTGTTATACGACAACGATGACGATGACGACGACGACAACTACAAAGTAACAACGAGGAAGCTTTAAATGATCTCACACACATTAGATACAAAACGAATAAATAAGCTTTAAAACTATTTGGACCAATTATAAGAAAAAAAAAAAAAAAAAAAAATTTTTTCGTTTAAGGGAAAAAAAAAAAAAAAAAAAGAAAAATCATCTTACGTTAGAATAATCTTCATTTTATTTGTTTTTCTCTATAAAATGTAGATCATCGAACGAGTTTACACCATGTGTTTACTACTCACGATACGATTACATTATACCATCATATTTAAGATAAGAGACCAAACCTATGCAAGGATGTAATTTACCTTTATGAGATGAATAAATTACATACATATATATGTATTTTCACTTTCAATTTTTGATGCGCGCGTTAAACACAGGAACAGACGTACGGTAATCACGATAATCTTATCTCGAGGACGTTAAATATATCATACATAGCGACTAAAAAAAAAAAAAAAACCAAATAATATTGAGAGTGAGAGTGAGAAAGAGAAAAGTATAGATCTATATATGAATACATATATATAGGAAGAAAATTTCATTGGTACGCAGAGAGATTAACCGATGATGACGATGACAAAGACAACTACAACGACAACGACAACGACGACGACGACGACGATGAAGCTACAAAACAATTTTGTTTGTCCCAATGAAGGCAGCGATACGCGTTTAAAAAAATACGTGTATATACGTTTATAAGTACCCTTCTCCTCCCTCTCCTATATTCTAGAGCAATGTGAGTCACTCGATAGCGTTTTACAGCCATTCCAGATCCGATTTTATCTTCTCTCTCGTACGATGTGTTTGTCGACAACGTTGTGTGTTCTGAATCGACCTAATGCATCTATGTATTTGTCTCTCTCTCTCTCTCTCTCTCTTTCTCTTTCTCTTTACGACGACGCTACGTGGCATCGTACGATGGAAGACCTCGAGAAAAACAAGTGGTATTTCTCGCTCTTTCTCTCTCTCTCTCTCTCTCTCTCTCTCTTTCTCCTAACACTTGTGAATGGACCGTTGGCCTTTCGAGGTCAAACTAGTCTCTCTCTCTTACTCTATGAGAACTCAACTCTATCCATCGGAAAACGTATTACACGTACTACATGTACGATACTTTAAAACATTTCGTAACAAAAATTAGACCCGTGTGTGTCCTATGTGTCGATGAAACAAACTACTCTTCCCCCTATAACTTAAACAAGCACGTACGAAAATAATACCTACGGGTACCAAAAAGATTTGCGTATAAATGACACGCACGCTAAACTAATGCCAAGTTCTATGAGGACACCGATTTACGAGGGAACGACCCGACCCTTCTTCTTCTTCTTCTTCTATTACTAATACCTCCACACCTAAATTTCTATCGATAGTTTTCGTTGTATTTGTCTATACGCAATATCTTTTCTTTATCATGGAATTTTTTTTCATTTTTTTTTTTTTTTTTTTAATATAATCCCATACACATTGTCATATAAATCTTGTTATCACAAACCCTGTGGATAACTTGTTCAAACATATCGAATTAACGTTTAAAGAAATAATTGAATATTTTACTGTTCAATTGTATAATATTTGTAATTGCTTATCGTGTCGCTATTTTCATTTTCTTTCTTTCTTTTAATGTAAATACAGAAGAAGAAGAAGAAGAAGAAGAAAGAGTAACACGATCGAGTTACTTTGTAAAATAAACAACTTTCTTCGTCGCGTCTTACCATAAAGAAATTCAAGTTCCTTCTACTACTAAATCATTTTATTTTAATAAATAAAAATACAAAGAATATCATTATTTTCTACATTATTTTATTACAAAATGAGGCCTAATTTGTGAATAACAATATTATAATGCGTAAATAAGAACGTACGTCATTTTCGAGAGAAACACCAACTAGTATCGAAATTCTATTTTCGAAATAGACCCGTGATGATTTTGCACGCGAGTCCTATTTTACAGAGAAGAGACGCCTTTTATTGAGAATATGTGTGTATGATATGTATACATATATATATATATATATATATATATATATATATGTGTGTGTGTGTGTGTGTTTGCGCACGCCCGTAATTACGTACGCATGTATG